GCTGAGAGTTGTAATATTGTCTATTATTTTTAATGCGACGTAGATAAGAAATAAAAAGATTATCTTTTCGTTGTTGTGTATGTTAATATTATGTTTTATCAGCTATTCGCTTTAGAAAATAAATAGTTTGGAATGAATTTTTTGGCTTTTGCACATGTAAACATGTGGGAAATTAGCACGCGAATCCACAGCCAAAAAACAAAATACAAAAAATTAATTAATTCTAAATCCACCCATAGACACCTTTTTTATATAACAGGGGGCAAACGGACAGAAGGCTCATCTCATGTTAAATGATACCGCCGCCCATGGAGACTCACATTGCCAAAAGCCTCACAAGTGCGTTGCCGGCCTTTTAAGATTTGGCACGCTGAAGGACCCTAAGTCGAATTGGTTCTGAAATAAAACGTTGGACGTCAAGGTGTTACGGTGATATACCTGCAAGAGGCTTGCAAATGTGTTGCCAGCCTTTAAGAAAGATCTCTTGAAAGCTCCTAACCGCTATCCATCTTGTATCATCCAGGCCCCGTTGGGCGTCAAACGGCAAACAAACCGAACAATATAAAATGAACTAAACTGACCACATAACACAACTATCGGTCCTGAATATTACAAGGGGTATGGGACAAAGTTTCGTAAGATGAAAAGTTTGAGCGTTTCGAAGTAAATATTTAGTTTCGGCCCCGATATTACGTGTAACTTCGTGAAGTGGTCATGAAACGCTGGCAATGTTGGACAAACTTCTTTAATATTGGTGCAAGTTGTTTTAGTGTTTATTTATTGTGCTGACACATGTTTTTTTTTAATTTATAGTCATGAGTACCTACAAAGGTCGGCCCCACAACTGACATATTTAAACAGATTTTGTTAGTATAAGGACGTATTAGTGGCGCCGCACAACTTTCCCCACTATCCCCAGTGTTCGGCAAGCCTCTGCGCCTGGGTAATGGTAAAACCTCTTAAGGGCCTTTACTTGTGTAGGGGATCGGCCTCGAGGTCTAATGCCCTCCACTTTGGATCTTAACTTTACAGAAAATTTTCTTAGAACGTAGAAATCTCTTTAAATTTCAATCTGAAACTTATGTACGGAAGTGGATGGCGCAAGTTTTATATATAAAATGTTCGCATATCGAAGTAACTTAAAACAGGTACCTATTTAAAACGGCTTTTCATATTTTCTGTAAAATAGTATTTATGTTTAGGAAAAGTTTAATATGTTTTTAAGGCAGTTTTGCGCATCAGCGCTATGTGGAACCAGCTGACCACTGAAGTATTTCCAAATCGACTTAGGTTCCTTTAAAAAAAGAGCGTACCAATTCTTAAAAAGCCGGCAACGCACTTGCGAGCCCTCTGGCAATGTGAGTATCAGGTAAGTTTCCTGCTCGTTTGCCCTGTTGTATTAAAAATCAACAATATTTCCGCTGCTAAAATAAATTTCCATTATTCATCGGTAATGATAAATTCCAACGTTTCCGTAAAAATATTGTTTAACAAACCCAATTTCCTTGGAAGACAACGATCCCCTCCCTTTGATGTGATGATTGGGTTTATTTTGCACAATAACTGAAATATGTATCTCAAGATAAATTGCATTGACAGATCATAAGACTCGAAGGGGAAATCCGTTTGATGTTAAATATCGAAGGAAATATTTTTAAAATTTTTAAATAAATAATATATATTTTGTAACCTTCCAATGGATTAACGTCTGCATTTGTTTTATTGATAACAACACAATATTTTGACTTTATAGCATAATTATACGAAATAAAATGTATGACATGAAAAAGTTTTGCAATTCCAAATGGACCGATTGAAGGATTTTTTCAAACTGCGGTTTTAATTTTAAATTGACGTTTATATAGATTAGATTATATTGTTTTTATTAAATTTTACTATTAAATTAACTTACAAAGAAATGGTTTATAAGTTTCAATAAAGCCTAAAAGTAGTTAAAAGTAGTAGAAAGTAGTAAAAAGTATATACTATAACTATCACAAAAGGATTTTTATTTTTACATAATACATTTATTTAAACTTGATTCCGAAACATTTGTAACGAGTTACATATAAATTATGTCTCTACAAAAAATTCTTCGTTTTTTGTCCTAAAGTTTATTTGATAGTTTTTTATGCAACAAAACAAAAATAAAATATTTATTTGTTTCCACATCCTTATTATATCTTAACAGTCACTACTAATGATATATAACGACACAACAATACCTACACCGATTATCATACATACATAAAAAACATTCAAATATATTTTCTTCATCAAACTTAACACCTCATAAAACTTAACAAGACAAGTGTTTTGTTATTATTAATTATAATAATTGTAACCAATAACTACATCACAAAGGTATACGCTAAACTTTCATGAGATATTTTAACTGACAGAATCTTTAATTAAAAAAGCGTTGCCCTTATAATTTGTACAGAATTTAGCAACGACCTGTAAATTAATTTAATATATCTTACTTGATCTATATCATTTTATATTCTATTCATATATTTGATTGAAAAGGACAGAACTAAAGAAAAAACTTTTTAACCGGATTAAAGTTATGTATTATTATAAATTTACAATTATGCGTCACCGTGACCACGCACGCTGTAAAGCACGCGAAACGTCGGATAAATTTAAAATTATGTTAAATAATTGTAAATTTATAATAATTGATAACTTTAATCCGGTTAAAAAGTTTTTTCTTTAAATGTGTAAAGGTTATGTTAATCAAAGACAATACTAAGGACAGAACTATTTGAACTTTTGAATTAGTGTTAGTGCTCGTTAGTATTAAGTGCTGAACAGTGAGTGAAAATATAGAACACAAGAACGGAGTGTCTTCCCGTTAATAAAGACTGTAAGTAGTGTTATTGGACACTTTCTAATGTTAAATATGCTTATTAGTAAATTATGCTAGACTTAAATTACTTATTAGTCTTAAGTAAGGCTAGATCGCAATGTTCCATGAAGTAGTGTAATGATAAAGACACGTATATAAAGAAAATCAGTCCCTCGTCATGAAAGAAGTGGACCTTATACAGCTTTATAAAGCATACTTCCATACATATCTTTATAAACAAGCAAAAAGTTACAGAGCTAGCCAAAAAACAATTGATCCAACCTGCTGACTAATCGAAGCTATTTAAGGGGATGGTACACGAGATATTTCATCCCAAATCGTCTAAACTGGCGGTTGTTTTTGGAAAGTATTACGGATTTATAGATGCTACGTGCTCAGACATTGGATTTAATAACGGTTAACTAACGATATAAGAACTGTATGTATTTTTTTACTTAAACGTAATTGTAAAAAATAAGCCAATTTTTTTTTATAACAGGGGGCAAACGGGCCGGCGGCTCATCTGATGCTAAGTGATACCGCCGCCCATGGACATAGCCAGAAGGCTGGCACGTTGCCGGGCTTTTAAGAACCAGTTCAAACTTCAAGAAAAAAACATACTAACTTTTTTCTTGAAGGTTGAATTGGTTCGGTAATACTTTAGTGGGCAGCTGGTTCCATTAAGTGGTGGTGCTCAGTTGTGGAACGACGGACGTCGAGGTGAGACTCTGATGGGGATTGTGTGGTATCGAAATCTCATTTGATGATTTCGTGCTTAGTTGAAACAATTACTCCTTCATATTAGATTTTGCGATGCCATAGGCGGCTTACATATAGCTGGGATTTAAATGTATAATATTTATTATGGAATTATAGATTAATAAAGAATTTTAATATAGTCCCAGCAAATTAAAGTTCATACATGTCTGTAATAACGTATATGTACCATCTACGACTTCTTAAAACGATATTATGAGAATTGCGTTCATTCAATAATTCCTAAATGAAAATTCTTTGTAAATTTTTATTACATGTCTTTAATCCATCTCTTTTCCTCATAGTGTAAGCACAATTTGACAAAAAGAGACGTCTTTGGTTAAAATCGTCATTTATAAATGAAGTAGGATGACGAATACAATCACGTAAACGATATGAATGAAATGAATCGCGAAGTATTATTTATTTTAGTTTTCCTTAGATTAGAAATGCCTATTTAAGGAATTCCATGAAAACCTTTTACTTTCGGCCACACGCCATATGAAGAGGTTTACTAGCGGTTTTTACCGTTCGCCATTTATTATAAAGTTTATGGTGGCATAAAGTATAAAATAATGGCGTATTTTTACAACCTGATGCCATAAAACACCTTTTATGATTGTGATAACATCGATATTGGCGCGTTTGTTTAGGGCAGTTGAAGTTTTATGAAATTTAGAATAAGCAAGGTTCTAACGTATGAAGAATGAAAATATTTTTATAAATTGCATAGCTTAGAATTGATATAGATAATACAGTGTTAGTTTAACCAGTGTTGGTCTGGAACAGGGTTTATCAACCTCTATTGTGCCAAGCCCCACCTTAACCTTACTTAAATTCTTATCCCTCTCCCATTTAACATACATAACTTTTAATTTTAAAAAAATATCGTTAAATTAAACAAACATAAATTATACCCATCGTATTTTTCTTTTTTAGGAAGAAATTACTAGGATCTTGTTAATGATACACAGTACGTAAAACACATAATGAAAAATTAAATAATTTAAAAAATTTCATATATTTAAATTATTTAATTTAACATAAATTTCATAATTTAAGTTTCCCTCATGTGGGGCGTGGGCCCCACGTTGGGAAACATTGGCCTAGAAGCCTGCGACTCTTATCCCTGAGGTCATATGATCGAACCCCGTCAGCACTGGTCTTTCGGTCTACGTGCTACACTCGGCACGGTTTATAGGCAAAAAGAATATGGCGTGTGTCTGGCACAGAACGGTACACAAACACTCACTATATTAGAAAAAAAAAATAATCATTACGAAACAGCAACCCCAGGACCAGACCTTAAGTTAGAAGAGTAAAAAGGATAAAATATTCCCATCTACCTGCTATGTAATGTTTACCTATATACGGAGGTTTTGACGTAACAGTTATGACGTCGAGGCCCCGGTACAATGCGAGATTGACCCCGGGGTCTCTTTATAGTGGCTTTGTAGGAATCACTCGAGGTGGTGTTAGTGGGTATTCCACCCAGTCTCTGAATAGAAGATATTCTGGTGTGAGTCAAGTCCCAATACCTCTGCTTCTTTCAGGGAGCAGGGACATTGATGTTGTTATGTTGAAACTATGTCTTAGCAGACCAGTAGTACTTTTCTCATGTCTTTTTTCTGGTCTATCGATAAGACGAGAGTTAGCCCTAAGTGAGTCCAGTATGTCAAACCAGTCGAAGTTTAGACTATTAAGCCCTAAGACATACCTTCACGTTCACGTTTCACAGAACACAATGGAATTAGCTGCCCACTGAAGTATTTCCGAACCAATTCGGGTCCTTCAAGAAAAGTGTGTATCAATTTTTAAAAGGCCGTCAACTTGCAAGCCTTCTGGCAACGTGAGTGTCCATGGGCTTATCGCTTAAAATCAGGTGAGCCTCCTACCCGTTTGCCTCCAATTACATTTTAAAAAAAACCAATGTTTCTCGACATCAGTTTTGAGAATGAAAACGCTAGCCATTACTCTACAATGAAAAGAAATCTATTGAACATTGTTGTTTTATGTCAATTAAGTAATTTAAAAGCAACACTGATAGAGTGCCCAACCTTATCTAATGCATCGCCAGACTAATGCAGTTTAGTGCAGACTTAGCGATTTATCTAGAACTGATTGAATTCGATTTATAGTGCACTAACTGAGTTAGGAGACTCATCTATTTAACTAAATCAATTCTATGGTTTAATCAAGTTTCCTTTGATGAAATCAATCCAAATAAATTCATGAATATATCGAATCTAGTAAAAAAATCTAGTAGGTAAAAAGTGCTAGCAATTTGTAAACCCAATACTAATCAGAAACAGTGACTTCGTTGTGTCGTAACTAAAATCCATTCTTAATAGTAGAACAATTATGTACAGAATTTCGCAATTATAATTGTATTTATTGAAAATGTCATTATTTTTCAAAATTGTTTTTAGCTTACTCAAGTGTATCACAGGGTTATTCATTTGTAAAATGAGGTAAAAATCAATCTATAGAATATATTATTAAATATAAATAGGTAAAATTATAAAAAGTGTTTATAACTAGTTACATCATAGGATCACTGGACTGGATTATTTTTAACTTTATTAATAAATATAGGACATGCTACTCAGGAATAGCATATGAGAATCCTTGTGTAAATGAATGTAATTTTTGTAATTGGCCCAGTCGTTTTTCGAACTTCTTGAAAAGGCTTCGAAACAACTGGACCCACTTAAAAAAAAATTACAGTATTAGAATCCTACTTTGTCCCTGATGAAAATATTTTTAAAAAGATAGAGTTTCATGTGAAAGCCTAGATAATGTAATCCATTTTGTAAAATACCACTAAAAATCTACGCTGTGGAAACTATTGACAATAGAGCGAAGTGATGTACTACAGTTTTATAGCAGACATATATCTACAAAAGTGTCTATGTCGAACTATTATATTTAATATAACTATTAAAATAAATATACAGTCAGTGAGAAACTCAATAAAAATCTTTCTCCATTAATTTAGATTTTATAAGTGTTAGAAATCTGTTTGTAGTAGATAAAATAGGTAATGCAATTGAATTCCCCGATGACCAAGCGTCTAAAATATAGGGTTTGTTAGTTTTCAATGGATGTCCATCTTTAGGGTTCGGACACAACTTAAATCGCGGAAAATCAAATAAAAAGAACTAGAAAAATTAAATAAACTTGTGTAGTGAAAATGAAATAAAATTCTTAAATAAATTAATGTTTTTTAACCGAATTTAAATAGTTATGCGTTTTATGTGTATAAATGTCTGATATTGTTAGAATTTGATAATAACTGAGCATGATCTTTGTACGTTTGACATATTGGAAATCAAAAGACATTTTAAATTAAATCAAGTATATTCCAACATAGGGTACAGTCTAGACTCGCATTCTAGAACATTCACTAACATAAATCATCATCCAAGAGCTTTCGTTTAACTATTTGAACTTCGTCATATCTGACAGTGCTCAATTGGAGATTGTAACATATATTTTTGGAATATGGACCTAAGTTGCATTAAAACTGTAGTTTCTTAGATATAATTACTACAGGTACCTAGATGATGTTGATGAGTATTTGAAGTCGATTACGTTATTCTAAATTTATAAAATATTTGTCCCGTTCAAGGTATATATTGTAAATGTATCTAAAGTAAAATTAGTTTAAAGCACTTTTTTAAATGGATTTTATTACATTATTTCTCTCGACATGATGTATTCACTCAGACATACAGACAATATAGAGAAGAGAGCGAGTAAGAAAATCACTGCTTACAATAAAACGCGGCCACAAGCGTGGGACTCCTATAATTAAATCGCTCCGCCTACCACCGTACGCTCTAAAGCATTAGACACAAGCTACGACACAAGACAGTGTAACAATAGAGAGCTCGCAAAAGCTACGTGTTCACTCTCCATTGAAAAACCTTATTGTAGGACACTTGATTTAATAGTGGATAATGGACTTAGCGCTTTCAAAGGAATTAGATTCTTTTCTCAGTTGTTTTGGAGTGTTTCTCCTGCAATTTGGTCTATTAGATAGCAAATTTGAGGAGATTTTCTTTATGAGAATGATTAATATTATTAGTATTAAGATGTTACTTAGGTCTAGGCCTCAGATATTTGTATCTGTTTCATGATGATTTGTCAATCTAATAGGCAAGTAGGTGATCAGCCTCCTGTGCCTGAAACACGCCGTCGACTTTTTGGATCTAAGGCAAGCCGGTTTCCTCACGATGTTTTCCTTCACCGTTCGAGCAAATATACGCAGATAGAAAGTCCAGTTGTGCACAGCCGGGAATCGACCATATGACTTCAGGGATGAGATTTGCACGCTGAAGCTGGTAGGCCAAGACTGCTCTGGGACGTTACTTTACACTTCATTTATTGATAGACTTCTTAACGACTTTTTATGATAGCATTTTATAGTAGTCAACGTTCTTCGTTAATATATCAAGTTATACGTTACCAAAATACATGTTTGCTGTACCTGAAACAAATTAGAACAATTATTTTATTTATTAATATAAATTAATAATTACGTAATATAAGCACTAATTACCTCTCTACATTTATTACAATTAATCAGAGCAGATTATATGTTTCTGAATCGAAATCATCATCATCATAAACATCAATGGCCGTACAGCCTCTTATGGGCTGTACCTATGCAAGTATCTTTCGCCATGGCAATCAATCTCGTGCTTCATGCGTCAAATTTCGAACAACCATCGTACTGAGAATCCTGACAACTTCATCCCAACAATAAAGCCGCTACCGAGGTTTTTCTTGCCATGTTGTGAATTCTTCATAAAAAAGTACTAAACTTTTATTTACTAAACGTTAGAAATAAAAGACTTATCTGTATCTTTCTATCACAACGTACACGCAAAGAGAGATTTTATAAACCTTCAATGGAGTTAGCTGTGTTGAAAGGTATCATTATATCATATCTGCGCCATTATTGACTTACAGTAAAGACAGAAGTAGTACATAACATCGCTGAGGTAAGTTATAATTGAATGCTCTGATTGGCTAGTTCGTATCGTGTTCGGTGACGTCATCTCCGGTCGCGTCACATGCTCAATTTCCGAGTCAATTTCCTATGCAGCCAGTTTTGCTTTAACTCATCTCACGTAATAACCTATATATGTTTAGGAATCATATCGATCTGAATATAATTTTGTTTGCGTAATATTTTAAATGTTTGAATTTTAATCAACTTAAATCGACCATGATGCAACGTTGTCGATAGCATATGATAAATCGTAAATAATTTATGGAAAAATCTGTGGTTTCACGTTTTAAAAGAGTTGGTGAATTAATTATCAATCATATAATTATTTCTATATATTTCAAAACTATGCAATTTTAAATACAGAATACAGCATGTTCATGATTATCCAGTATTTTCAAGGGACAATATTGCTACCAAAAAGTTTATGCTTTTACGAAAATAAAGACTCTCAAATAATTAATACCTTCATATTTCTTGTGCTAATTTTAAATTAAAAAAATGCAAAGTAGGCCACGTCTCTAAACAATTTCGAGTTAAGAAACTAAAATTGCCGAAATTACGACAGTTTCCCTAAGATTTCATCGTTGTAATTACGAGCGACTCTTTTGATGGCCTGTAAAGTTCTTTGTTCAAGGCCCATTATACCTTCAACGTTGATAAATTAATTGAATTTCGCCGAAAGAACTTTCCCTGCCAAATTGAGGATTAATAGTGGAAGTTTCGAGTGTTCAGAATAAACATCTAAGCTAACAAGCTATGGTTTAAATGAAAAGATTTACGAAGGATTAAGATTTAACTGATTACATATCTGGTTAACGTTGTAATCTTCAACATAGGTTTAAAGAAATTTACAACATAAATATAACCATATAACCTGTCATTGGGAAGGTTTATTTATTGGTGAATGATAACCAAATGTTTTGAATATTGTTACATATCCATTGCACTCCCTTTGCCCCGCATAACCAATACCTGTACCCCTCTTACGCAACACCGTTATAAAAGGAAATGGACAATAGAGATCAGAAGCTTTTGATCGGATACCTCATATCGGACCGGTCAATTCTCAACTAGTATAGTTTATAATATAGATTATTTGTCGTGCACCTAATATCGGGCCGTTTAAATAATTATATTTAGTTAAGTCTTAATTATTGTAAGTGATTAATTAAAGTAATTTAAATATATTTTGTTTTTTTTTTGGGATTCACCGCTGGCCGTCACTTAATTATATCATCATTGTTTTCAATATCTTAGAAAGCGTAGTTTTGAAATCTCTTTACAACAAAGAAATGGACACTCACATTGCCAGAAGGCTTGCAAGTGCATTTTCGGCCTTTAAGGAATTGGTAGGCTCTTTTGTTGAAGGACCCTGAGTAGAATTCGGAAATACTTCAGTGGACAGCGGGTGCCAAATAGTGGTGGCGCGCGTTAAAAACTGCCTTAAGAAACGCTAAGTTGTGGAACGACGGACGTCGAGGTGATACGGATGGTAAAAAAAATTAATGTCGACGCTTCGGTGGACCGATTTGAATTCCATCGTCACTTAAAATTAGTTTTTTAATAGATAATTAATAAATGACAAAGTATTTCTATTTTAATATTAGATTATTGTATTTGTTTAGTGTTTAAAATAAAATTGCTTATATCGCTGTATTTTCAAATGCGTTTTTCATTTGGAATAAAGTTTTACGGATGTTTGTTTAAAATTATATCTAATATTTTATTCAAATATATTGTTTTTC